ACAACTGAACAGATCATAGCAATGTTCAAACTCAAGTTACTAATACATGCCTAACTGAAAATGTTAAAAGTGCACACATAAAATACACATAATACAACGTTTGCATTTAAAAATCAACTAAGTTAACAGTCCCAAAAGGTGAAGCCGGTTGTGATTGAGATTTTAAAGATGATTGCGATTTTGATTACCTTTTGCTTGACACCATATGAGCTTTGGATTTTGATGAGGATCCATATTTTGGTAGAGGAAAAGATGATTGTGATGGCACTGGTGATCCACATGTCAATCTTATATGACTACTTTCCTTGCACCGACTACATGTCGATCTCTTCTTCTCTTCACCCTTAGACGGTATACGATCGTGACTTTTTGGTCGGCCAGGTAGCCTTCTGTCCATGGCTGGTGGCAAAATTGTTTGTAAGTCATCTGGTATGTCCCACTCAGAAGGATGTGGAATAGGGCAGACAATCTTGGCATAAGTCTGTCGATATACTTCTGTAGTGTAACAATCCATAGCGTATGCGCTTGAATCATCTTAGTTTAGATGAAGAGCAACTTTTATAATATGGCCACACGGATAACCAGATGTTTGTCATTTCATACAACTACACGTCTTTGCATTTAGATCGACAAGCCCATTTAAGTTATTATCCAGTACTTCAAACAAAGTGTTTGAACATGGTTCAACTCTCCATGACGTTGACTTCACAACACGTTTCGTTATCTTTTTTTCAGTCCATGGTGTAACACGATGTTCCAATGTTCCTGTAAATTTAAATAAATAATACTTAGTAAAATATATGATAAGTTACGAATTCAAAGAAATAATACCTGCATGGTTTCTTTTCTTGTAGTACCACTGTTGAATGGAGGCTCGAAAAAACTCCATTAACATAGTAATGGGTAATTTCTGGGAATGACGACTTAGAGCGTTGATTGATTCTGCACTATTAGACGTCATGAAACCATATCTTGCTCCAAGTTGATGTACTCTTGACCATCTTTCGAACCCGACATCTTCTAGTGTTTGAGCACACTGAGGCAAAACACGTCTTAAACAGTTTATATGCTTATTGAAATCCACTTTCCGATAAGCTTTTACAGCCTTCCAATATGTCCATTTGTGCTTTTTTATAACAGCAGACCTTGATTTTAGATTTCTATACAAATGAACACCACAAAGTCCATGAAAAACATCTGGGAAACACCTTCTAACAACGTTGTCAATTGAGTTTGCCCTATCGAATATGATTGTCAGATTGCTAATAGGACCTATGCAATCCCTAAGATGCCCCATAAACCATGTCCATGAATCAGAGGTTTCAGATTTGCCAACCCCGTAAGCTATTGGCAATATCCCATTGTTAGCATCCATGGCTACTGCTAATAAGTTTACTCCAAGGTATCGACCTTTCAAATGTGCTCCGTCAACTATAATAACTGGGCGCATGCAAGTAATAAACGAACGAATCTACAAAATAATATACACAAGAAATATAATCATTTAAATGTGAAATGCATGTAACTAACAAAAATCAGTCAACAACATTATATTGATTTACTAACCGCAGCACCAATGGAGATAAACAGCAACTCAAAGCGTCAATCTCTATCTGTTTTGATATGAGTTACCGACCCAGGATTTTTCAGCTTTAAATTGTGACAATAAGCCGACAGTTGGGCAAACGATGCTTCTGGCGACCCCCTCAACAATTTCAAGGCATAACATTTGGCTCTCCAAGCTTGAGAATATGATATACTAATCTTGAACCGAGCATTCATGTCAGTCATAATTTCATGTCCCCGATATACTCTGCCATTCAAAAACATTAACTCAGCCAGAAAACCACCCAACACCTTTTTGTTTGCCTGTCTATGGTGAGGAAAAACTTGGGTTCTTGAACATGTATGTTTATCAATAAAAGTCCTAACTTGAAACATTTCGCCATCTTTTATCCTCTTTGCAATCATACGCCACGTACAATTTTTGTCAATCATATACCTTGTTTCGAAACGATCTTTGCTTGATTTGTTAACTTTTAGTTGATAGCAATATTCCACCTCGTATACAAAGCTATCTTCAAGTCTTCCTTTGTATCAAAACAATCATCTTTCTTGATACGAATAACTTTTGTGTAACAATCAACTGCTTTCTTTACCAACTCTTCTTCCGGTATCTGAAGTAATTTTGGCATATTCCAGTTATACTCCCGTGGCATTTTCTTCTTTTTCTTTTCTTCGGGGACTTTTTCTTCTTTTTCTTCTTCAGGATTATATGAATTACAGAATGGATGTTCAACATGTTCATTCACAGTCGTAACTTCCTCCTCATTATCATCAACAACATCTTCCTCGGCAACGGCTGTTTCATCATCAAAATTCGGGTATTGACCAATATCAAAATCATTACACGCAAGGTATATTTCTTCTTCTGAAACATCATTAAAATCCGAGTATTGACCAAGATCAAAGTCCGGGTATTGACCAAGATCAAATTTCGAATACTGACTAGTACTCACAATTTTTTCTGTTGGCTCATCATCGTCTAACTGGTCAATACGAAAACCGGAATTTGGTGCTGAAAGTTGATTGGGATTTGGATTAGAGAAAGGTTGTGGGTTTTGAGAAAAACTTAGTTGATTACTACCCGCTACTGACCCAACAATACTACTTCTAGGTTCAACAACATACAATGTAATATCATCACTTGAAACACTAATGTAAGCAATGAATCGTTCAACATCTTCATTGTCAGTTAACAAATAAACTTTACCATTTCTCTGATAAGATAGCCTAAATCCACTTAGGGCTCTAAATTCAATTTCTTTGAAACACGTAACATTAGAGTTTCATAAGTTAATTTTTTTAATGACAGTTTTAGTTGAAGATTCATGGGTAAAGGCATATATTGTAAAACACCATGAACATTCTCCCATGACCCTCCAAAACACAAATCTATCCAAACATGATCAACATTAGATGATTTCATGGTTGTAAATTAATTTACTAAACAAACGAGCTGTGAAACTAAAACCTGTTGCCGGATGGGGAAGGATGTAGGAACGGATGTCGCCGGAGAGAGTGATAGATGGAGATGGAATGAGTTGTGATTTAGGGATTTAGGTTATGAGTTGTTGCTGCTGCGTAGATATATACCCAAAACATTTGTGTTGCGAAACTAAAACCTGTTGCGAACTTTGAAAATCGCATTGCGATTCTGTATTATCTCATTGCGATAGGCAGAATCACGTTGCGATAGGCAGAATCGCGTTGCGAAAGTCAATATCGCGTTGCGATTTTGTATTATCGCGTTGCGATTTTCCAAATTCGCATTGCGATTTACGTATTCGCATTGCGAATTGGGAAAATCGCAACGCAAAATTGGAAAATCGCATTGCGATAGTCATAATCGCGTTGCGAATCTGGAAACTGATTTGCGATAATGGAGATCGCGTTGCGAATTAGCGATCGCATTGCGATTTTGTTGGTCATTTTGGCAAATCCAGAAAAAGTTGGTTAAAATCATATATTATATGGGATTTTTTGTCACTGAGGTTATTTTCTCTTTATTTAATTTTAGTATTAACTAACGATGTATGTTTTAAAAAAATGAAATATAAATTATTTCATGCCAAATTTGATATTAATTTAATATTTTTAAAAAAATCAAAGATAGAATATTCTTTTACATATAAGAAATATGTGAGATAGCTTTCTTGATGGAGGATTGCAAATCTCGAGATTTTTTTTCAAGTCAAAGAATTTTTTTAATACTTAATTCGGAATAAATTATTCAATATTCAATAAAATGATTGTACTTTAAATATTGATTCAAATTTACGATGTCCACCATTTACGACAATGTATAATCAATTAGGTACCATATTTGAGCGTTGTGGTGGTGTTAATCATTCCCCACGCGTAATTGACTCCCGAATCCTAAAAAATGAATCTTTGATAACGCAAACCAATTTTTGGCTTAAAAATGATTTTTCTTAAAATTATTTTAAAAGACATTTTTAGGTATTCGACTAACCTAACCCAAAAGTCGATGACAACTTCTATTCTAAATAATTCAAAATCCCTATTGTTTTAAATAAGTCATAATTGTTTTTAAAATATAAAGTTTCTAAAAAATGGTTATGACAATAATAATGCCACTATATATATATATATATTCGATGTTTTGTTTTGTATCATGCATATTGCATTATGTCATCGTTTGAAATTTAGGTTAGAAAACCAATATATGTATACTCATGGTGAATCTCTTAGTAGAAGACTAAAGGAAGCATATGGCTCAAACTGTAATAATATAACCGTTGAACCCTATGTAGGTAGCACTTGATTATAATCATGCATGTACATACTATTCATTGTCCTGTCTTATAGCATGTTTATGTTTATGAGATTTATATACTGCTCTAGATTAGCGATTATACTACTGAGCTTTTTAAGCTCAGCGTTCGCATGTTAGTATATTGAGTCGTTCGAGAAGTACCATCGCAGTAGGATTTCCAACATTTCTCACAAAGTATTATTTGATTACTTGTAGTGGGCATATATATTCATAGGACCCTTACTTATGTATTTGAATTTATAAACTTGAATTGTATTATTTGATTTTAAACTATGTGCCATGGAGCTCCGGTTTGTAAAAGTATTTTATGACTATTATTGATGTATTTTCTTAAATATATGATGCTTTAAATGAAAAAGAAAATGATTAGTCACTTTGGTGGTTCCATATAATATTCTAATCCTCTAGATTTTGGATCAGATCGGACTAAGTAGTTATAGATGTATTCATTTCTAAAATTGTGTATGTTAAATAAAATATATATATATATTCATTTGATTCATGTGTAATATAACATTCTGAACCTGACCTGAAAGATTTAATGGACACGAAAGTATTACCTTTTTTTTGGTACAAAAAAGTTTAGGTTAAGGGCGATTCTTTCGTACAAGGTCTGGGCATACCTAAGACCATCTTGAGATTTACATAGAAGTTTATATATTGCTCATCAAGAGTGACAGTGGTAAGATTCAAACTTAGCCTTACAAACTCTAATTCATGAATCTCAACCAACCCTCTATATACTTCTCCACCATATACTAAAAAAATTAAAGGAGAGTGACAAAAAAAAAAAACGAAAACATAGCTATAAAGTTTGTTTGTTATCATTTGATGATGATGACTATGAAATGCAGCAGGCGTTGGGATTTTCATCGCTGAAGACTTGAGGAGCAGGCGGCATTCGCTCGATAACGTAAAGCGGCTGGTAATAGTAAATCATTCTCTTCATGGATTCCTCCTCGTTAATAATATTACCTTCTGCTTCTTTCTTCTCCTCTTGTTTGTCTTCGTCGCCATCTTCTTTTTTGTCTGTTTGATCTTCCGGGGGATTTTCTTCTTTTTTCTCTGCGTTTTCTTCCGGTTTGGGTTCTTCCGTTGGCTTCTCTTCGCCCTCTTTCTTATCTTCTTGTTTCTCCGGTTCCGGTTGAGGCTCTGGCTCCGGTTGAGGCACGATCCTCGCCTGCTTTTTCGTGCGTCGGTATACGTAATCCACCAGCTTGTCCGCATCCATGGTTCCCCTCACTGTGACTTTCCCGGTGATATGCTCGGTTTCCGCACTCTGTACACCTGTAATATGTACACAAATGGTTTTGTTTAACTTCTACGCCGTTAAAAATTATAAAATAATTATTTGTGTATTCATACATATTAAATTTGCATTTTTTAATTTAAAAATTTAGTTTAAGATGAACATTAATATATTAATTAAAATATAATAAAATTTAATTTTATTACCATTTGAGGTGTTTTTGTCGATTAATTCTTTGTTTATATTATCTCGACAATCTAGTATTTGAAATATTATATCATCGAATCATTGTTTAAAAACAAAGATGATATTAATAGGTGTTATTAAAATACAATTTTATTATATTTCAATTAACAAGTTAACATCAAATTTAATAGATCATCAATTTTTAATAAAAAAAGAATAATAATGAATAACATTTTATACCCAATAAAATAACAATATGTAATTAAGAAATTATTTTATAACTTTTAATATTTTAATATGGGACTATCGGTATATTTAATTGTCACGTTGATAAGACCCCACGCCATCGTCAGCTAATGGGATTCCCTTTTTTTTTCTTCACCGCATTCCAAGCAGTTGATCAATCACATTCACAAATTATCGTGTAGCTTTCAGCTGGTTAAGTGGCCAAAGGCTATTGTTCTTGAATCGGTATGAAACTTAACCAAACTAAGTTTTTTCATTGGACAAAGAAGGATTAATCTGATCATTATTATAACCAAGTGCGTGCAAGCAATAATAAACAACCAGTTGCTAATATATTCATACCTCTCATTTTGAGTATCTTTCTCTTGAGCTGCTCGGCACAGGCTTGGCAATGCATATCAACGTTAAGCTCCACAGTCGCTAATCCACTGACCTGTGAGGCGACGACTTCCGGTATCGGTTCACCCTCAGCTGCAGGCAAAGGGGATACTACTTTAGCTCTTCTCTTTGTTTTCTTCATGATTTTAGCACATACTGCTTGGGGTTCGATTACTCCCTTTATTGTCACTTGGTTTTGGCCCATATCGATCACCAGTCCTTCCACACCTGTTAACCATCTGAGTATTTGTCACAAAATAAATATTAATGTACATGTACAAACATATGGTTTGTCTACCTCTGATCCTCATGATGGATTTCTCAATCTTCTTTGCACATCCCACACAATATTGCAAGTCCACAAACAAGACAAAAGGAGGAGGAGGAGGAGGTGGCGGTGCTGATGGTTCCTCTTTCTTTTCTTCCGCCGGCTTCTCCTCCTTCTTCTCTTCTGGTTGAGCCTCCACCGGCGGTTGTTCCTGCTTGGTTTCCTCGCCCATTTCCTCTATGAATTAACTTGAACAAAGAAGAAGCAGAAGGGAGAAGAATGGTGTTTAGTTAAGCAGTGGCAGTAGCAGAGTAGTTTATATATATAGAAGAAGAGAGGGAGATGTTGATGGGATGGACGGTGGGGTTAATAGCATATAAAAGCAAAACAATGGGATTCCACCGCACATGTAGTGCCACTTAACATACAAAGAACCTCTTAGTTTCACTTAACATACAAAGAACCTCTTAGTTTAATATTTCTTCTGGAAATCTTTCCAATCTCCGGGGCACAGATGTTAAGGAAAACCAGTGGAGCAGAGTTGGCAGATTTATAGACAAGATTGGCGGTGAAAACGGTAAAAGATAACCAAATTGACGATGATATTGCAATACTTCCATCATCCACCGACCTTGTGGGTTCAATTCCCCCTGAGGTGCTGTTTTGTCAGACCAGTGTTTACCCCGATTAGGCAACTTGGAACCAAAGATTATAATTTTTTTTGTTGTATATACAAAAATTTGAATTTTAGATATTGTTTAAACGTTATCAAATTATTTATTATTTGAACTAATCTGTGTTGGTTATCAAAAATTATAATTTTAATTATAAATTAAACAACACAATTATTATATTTTTCTATATTTTTTCGAAAAAAATTAATCACTTTACATCATATAAAATATTAAAACCTCAAATAAAAAATACGGATTGATTTATCTGCATCCACAAATTAATCGTAAAATAAAATTATATTTAAAGATAAGTTGGAATTTTACCTTGGATTCCTTGGTGGGGGGGGGGTGTGATTTGGTCCGCCAGCTCACATGCTTTGTCAGCTATCTAAACCTTTCTCTTTCCGACGCGTTTGCACTAATGATGATTGTTATTTAATTATTATTAGAAAAAACTCAATTTATTAAATTTAATGAGTAAACTAAAAAGATTTAAAGTATAATAAACAAAATTAAAGATAATAAATTTCAGTTGCAAAATTTATATTCTAAACTTATATATAAAGAAAGATCATATCAATTTTTAAGAGGAACTCTTTCACTATTTCAATTTATTTAAAATTTGCATGTGTTTTTTTTCTTCTTATTTGCAGTTCCACGTACAGTTTAAAATTTAAAGTTTAAAAACGATGAAAATGAATTATGACTGAAAATATTATAAAAATTATAATATTTTAAATTACATTTAACTTAAAATGTTATCTTAAAATATTATATTTTTTAATTATAATTTTTATCGCGTTTCATTTATGTCGTTTCTTTTTAGACTTTGGCAATCTTTTGAGGTAAGATCTTGATGGTTAAATATTCATGAAAATGAGGATTGTTTTTCTTTGACATTCCACCTACTAATAAGGAAAAACGGTCCATAAGAGTCTGATCACATAGCGTCATGTGTTTGGTATGTTGGGAGGAAGCATTAGTTTTTGTCGGATGGATGATCCATACTGGCCATGAAAGCTCCACGTAACTGTTAACCTAGCTTTCGGTTGGACACACATGGAGGAGAAGACAATGTCCACTCATTTCAGCCTTTTATTTTGTACTTTTTAACTGCTTCAGTTTTGTCTCCTGCTGCGTTAAATTCCCAGGCTTCATGTTACTTCTTTGTTCCCATGGAATCTTTTTTTTTTCAATTATGGTTTATCAAAGTTGTCTTAATTAATTAATACCTATTCCCGTCACATATCCGAATTTAATGGGTGAGTCTTTCGACATGATTTTTTTACATATAGAAAGATTTGAACTCACTCAAGATCTTTTTAAATAATATCAAACTACTTATTACTTAAATCAACAGTGTATAATTTCTTCTTTTCTGTCAGATAAAAACAGCAGAAATTACTAAACATGCACGTACGTGTACTGCTTTGTTATTGTGTCCAAAATTAATGTGGTATATTTGTCAAAATTATATAGCTATGAATGGAATAGATCGTGAAGAAAAGACATATCATTTTGGATAAAAAGAAGAAAAAAGAAAGTTGGGATGAATGAAACGTAGGATCAAAGAATGTATCAAGTTTTTGCGTGTAAAGTTGATAGCACATGGGATGCTGACCTTGAAATTACAAACCTTTATCTTCCTTTTCCTTTTCCTTTTCCTTTTTTCAACTTCTTCTTCACTTCCATTGCTTCTTTCTAAGGTTTCCAAAAGGCCCCTTCTTTAAGAATATTATAAACATACCATAAGTTTTACCGTTGTTTATCCAGAGGCGATAGTAGGTAGGAGGGAGCGTTCAATTCAATCAATTCGAATAAATTTTTTTTGCGTCATTTAAGTTGGTGAGTCCAATTTTATAATTTTAATTTAATTTTAATTTTTTCGATTCTAGTTTTCGGATTTCTATTTAAACTTAATTGTAAACTTTTATAATATTATGATACTATTTGATTTTAATTTAAATGATTTTTATAACCATATATATATATATATATATATTTATGTGTGATATACATATGTCATACAAATTCAATAGACTCGACTCAAACTTGAAAATCAATTAACTAATTAATAAAAAAATTGAGTTATTTGAGTTACTATTCGAGTTATTAGAGTTGTATTTTAAAACTTAACTTGAACTCAAAATTTTTTCAAGTCGAATTTAGTTTATCAAATTACAACTTAATTCAAATCAATTTTTTAGTCAAATCGAATTTTATTCAACCCTAACAGTAGAGATGGACCGAGGGAGAAGTAGATGGAGGAAAAACGTTACAAGAAAATTTGAAATTATAATATATGTTAGATATTTTTTTTGTCTTATTATCTTTTTAAAATTTTATAAGTTTGTTTTTTTTAAATTTTAAAAAAATCATCATTATACTATTAAATCATGTATTTGTTTTAAGTCATAAATCATTCTAGATTCAAATCTGTCAAATCAAAACCCAGCCCACGATAAAAGGAAAAGGCTGAGAGGTGAAGCAACTACACATTGCTGTGTTGGTTTGGTGCTCCAGATTAGACTGATTAAAAGATTTTTTTTTTTTTGAAAATTGATAAAAGGAAATTTTAGAGCAAAGAGGGTCCGACTTGCACTTATGGTAACACGTGGGGATGATTCAACAAATACTTGGGGAAACCCTAAACCACCCAAATTCTTACTCTTGTTTCCTTTCTGCCCCATTTTCAGTCTTACCCGATCTCACCCAACAAACATATCTCATATTGATGCAATGCTCAGCCAGGAAAATCAATATGTAAACGTAGGTTTTTTTTATAATTCTATGTGTTTGATTTATTAATAAATTAATACGGATCGGATAATATAGAGACAAGAGTGATATCAATTTACTCCATTCGTAATTGTTAGGATTCAAACAATTGACATTGCTTAAGGAATTTATTGACTCATTCTGGTAAATCAACTGATTGTTAGTTAATTGTGGGGTTTTAACTAATATACAATGATAGAAATAATTTAAATTTAATCAAAAGCGTTTATTAATTTTAGTGTACAATTAAAATCAAAAGAATATTTTATATTCTAAAACCTTAAGATAAGAGATACTTTCTAAAATTTAATTAGATAATCACTTTGATTTATATTCTCGTAAGAAAAAGTCTTTTCATGAATGAAAATCTTTAATATTTACGTTTCAAAATAGATATATTTTTCCTTAATCCTATCATTCTTCCCAAGAATTACGAGATAAAAATGAACGTGTTAGTGGTTTGGAGAATCTTGGATGATTGATTAATAAAGCAATCAATTCCCAACCACCCATTACTTTTGTCTTCCAAATCCTTGGTTCTAACTAAATTCTAGTACTGTATCTTCATAATTGCATGATCGCATTCTTTTTATAAAATTAATAAATCATTACCACTATTTCATTTTTTTTCTAAACACATGCCATGTTCCTAATGGTGATGCCCAAAGTTTCAATTATCCCAAAAAGTGAATCCTAATGTTTAATTATGTTGTATATAGTATTCTTGGCTAACGCATATATACCATTGAATTATTCCTTTGTCTCAATTTAAATGATATCCAAATCATCGTATGTCAAAAAATTAGTTGACCCTATTCCCATATGTATGTAATGGGGTAAAGGGGGAGGTAGGATAGTAGGCTGCCCCCAACGCCAGGTTGAGAGTAGCTTCTATAGAAGACCTCCGCTAGTCATAATTATGAATTGCCCTCCGTGAGACTCGATCCCACGACCACAAGGTTAAGAGCCTTGCGCTCTACCAACTGAGTTGGACGAGCAATTCAAATCGTCATATGTCACATAATTCTATTATTATATAAGAAACAATACCATGAAGAATTAGAACCTGACTCAAACATTAATGCGTAAGATTTAATTATATTTGTATGTTATTTTATTTATTTATTTATTACATTAAAAGTTTAAATCAGGGTTGACTCTCCCAGTTTAAGGCTAAGATATACCTAAGACTCAATTGGGATTTATATAAGAATTTACAGATTACCCACAAAGAGTGACAGTGGTAGGATCAAACTTAACCTTACAAACTCAAATTCCTGAATCCCAACCATTTGTATTAACACTCGTATTGAAAGTTATTCAAAAATTAAAATTAGGGTAAATTATACATTTAGTACATAAACTATCAGTTTTGGTTTGTTTTAGTGTTGAAACTTTTAATTTTTTTAAAATATACCGAAAGTTTAGTTTTTGTTTAATTTTAGTACCACTGTTCAAAATTTAACGTTAAGTTTTGAGGAAAAAAATGAAAGTTTAGTTACTAAAATGGACAAAAACTGATATTTTAGGTACAAACATGTTAAATTTTTAATGGTGAGATATTAGAATGAAACAAACACTAAACGTTAGGTATGATTTAAAAAAAATTAAAAATTTATATACTAAAATAAACCAAAATTAATAATTTAGGTACTAAATATGTGGTTTACCCTTAAATAAAAGGTCATGTTCAATATTTTTAAAAGTAATAATGATGTAAATAGATATTGGAATTTGGCAATTGAATTATATTTGACTTCTAAATCGTTTACCTAAAGTATAATAACATAATAATTTACAAAAATATTAATTTAAAAATTCAATATATAAATAAATAAAATATTATGATATTACAACTTGACACCTTCTTTTCCTTTAGGTTAGGGATTGAATCCCCATCAGAAGTAAAATTTCCCTTTTCCCTCCCCTAAGTAGAAATTGTTTGGGGGAGGGGGTAAATTGAACTTTTGACTATAGTGCAATAATACATGGACTGGCTATATACAATACAAAAATGATGAAATGCTCACGGCCCTATCCTTTCTTCCCGAACATTAATCTCTAACAAGATACTCATTGTTTGTTCCGAATCTATGCCACATCAGATACAAACATCACCACCAGAAAAGAATGTAAAGGGATTCAGAATAAGACCTTCTGCAATAAAATAAAGTATACAAATGGAAAGCTTCACTACTTCCTTTCACGGCATATAAAAACAAGAGAAGTATATCGGTATAACAGGAACTTATCATTACAGTCGAATCCCTTAAAAGGCTTCATCTAAAACAGAATGTTCGTGTTCATTCAGGTATAGTTCTGCAAGGGCAGTATTCAAGGCTGCACCAATAGGAAGGACATCTTCGTCCAGAAAGAAACATGGGGAATGTGGTACATGAATTGAGCCGAGTTTCTCATTCCTAATTCCAACGTGTGACATGTATCCAGGTATTTTTTCTTGATAGAAGGCAAAGTCCTCTCCTGCCATAACTTTTTTGCTCTTTTTGACATTCTCAGGACCAAACAAAAGGCTACTAACCTTCTCAGCATGCTGATGCAAGCCATCATCATTTATGACAGCAGGATAGATCGGGTGCTCTTCTTCTTTCATGTCGATAAAAGCATTACATCGGTGTACAGCTGCTTGCCCTTTAATGACCTACAGCAAGTTAAAAGTACATAAAAATGAAGCAGAAATATGATAGTAGAGAACTGATCTATCAATAAGTTTGTCTAATAAAAATAGTAAAAGCATTTCGAAATTGCCAGAGCACTAATACAGCAGTCCAACAGGACAAAATCATAGCAGACAAGATCATTTTGTTCATGGGAATAGCATCTTAGAAAGGGAGGAAAAGAAGAAAAACAAACAAGAAGGGTTACAAGGAAATGCAACATATGTAATATGCTGGTAAAATAGTTAGCTTGAAAGGTAAGAATTAGATAAGGGCAGAGAGCATGCTAAGAGTTCTCTGACTATCAACAGGAAATCATGATTCTCATGGTTATCAGTTACTAGAACCTATCCAGACTCGATAATGCTGTGTACCTCTTTCATCCTTTGTTGTAGTTTATACAATCCCTCAGTGGTGAGACTCCTCAAAGAGCCCCCAAATTCAACATACGATGGGATCACATTGAATGCTGATCCACCTCTGATGTAAGTAATTGACAACACCTTACAGAAAAAATACATCAGGCGTTAAGTTGCATTAGACGGGCATACTTTAACCAGTATATATGTGTTGTTTGTGTGTAGCAGTATACGACGGATGTCCAATTTTCCAGATGATAGCCATGGACTATTCCAATATGAAAATGGATCTTACTTGACTGTGGAGAGGATCAGTTTCTCTAGAGGTTAGCTGTTGCAATGCCAAAATTACAAAGGATGCGGCAAGTATCGGATCTACGGCTGAATGAGGCCCCGCGGCATGCCCTCCTACTCCTTCAATTTTGGCTTCAAAGATAGATGTTGCAGCTAAGAGTGGTCCTGAAAGCAGCCCTATGCTTCCTGTCAGAATTGTGAAATCAACGTGCATTCCAAATATTGCTTCAGAATCACCTAAAGCTCCTTCCTTTATCATGTGAGATGCACCGGCACGCGCTTCTTCTGCAGGTTGGAAGAGTAGTCTGACCGTTCCCTTCAGAGGCATATAAAGGAAATTTTGATATTGAATAAGCTTGAAATTAGTGAACCTTTAAACAGTAGTAATACTAACATAAGCAGATGGATTTAAAATGTTAAACAAAATGTCAAAGCTTACCTTAAGCTTATCTTTGCGTTGGTTAAGCAACTTGGCAGCACCAAGAAGCATAGTGGTGTGAGCATCGTGGCCACATCCGTGCATTTTGCCATCTATTTTGCTCCTATGTTCCCATTCCACAAGCTCCTACAACAGCCGAGTCATTGGAAACAATTCAAGCAGAAGAACAGAAGGAAAAAAGGGTTATAGAAAATAGGATGACCTGAAGGGGAAGCGCGTCCATGTCGGCACGTAGAGCAACGATTGGTTTAGAACCGGAGCCGATTTGGGCGACAATACCAGTCTTGGCAAAGGGGTAAGAATAAGGGATACCGAGCTGGTCAAGGTGTTGGCGGATAAGAGCGCTGGTGTTGTGTTCTTGGAAGCCAAGTTCAGGGTTCTCATGGATCTGCCTCCTGATGGAAACCAACCATTCTTTTTCCTGCTGGGCTGAGCTGAGGAGTTCATCTTTGTAAACACGGTCGAGTCTGCCATGTGTAGCGGAGAGGCAGGCAAGAGAGACGAACAGACTGAACAAAACAAGTATGCTCATGTCAGTGGCGATGCCAACCATTCAACAGTTGTCCCTGAAATTTAGCAGCAGATTGGTAGCAATCAACCGCCAAGTCTACCCAATTAAATTTCTTAAATCACAGGGTCTCCTCCATACCTTCGTTGAAGAATTAGATTTTTGGGTAAATTATACATTTAGTACCTAAACTATAAGTCTTGGTCTGTTTCAGTACCTAAATTTTTAATATTTTTCAAAATCATGTCTAACGTTTAATTTTTATTTCATTTTAATATTCATGTTTAAAATTTAATATTAATTTTTGATTTTTTTAAAGTTTAGGTACTAAAATGGATCAAAACTGATAGTTTAAATACTAAACGCGTTAAATTTTAACGGTGGGTACTAAAATGAAACAAAAACTATTAAAAATGAGTTTTAAAAAAACTAAAAGTTTAAGTACAAAACAAATAAAAATTGATAGTTTAGATACTAAAGATATACTTTACTCTATTTTTTAGTCAAGATGAAGAGAGAAAGAGAGGTAGATCTCTATAATCTTCTATTTCAATTAATTTTGTATCTACTAATAATAAAAAATATATAAAATTTATCAAATTAGTATTTAATTGTAAGATTTCTATTAGTGATTTTTTTAATTTTAAATTCTTTTATTGAACTTAGGTTTAAAACCCTTTTATGTCTAAATGTAGAATAAGTGAATTATTTAAAATTATTTAAACAATTATATAATTATATTATTAGAAATGAAAGTATGATAGTCATATCAACGCCAATTATAAAATTGAGTGATCATTTGAGTAGTGTGTCATTTTATATATGATGAAAATAAAAGGTTTGACATATTTGGGTACATTTTAATTGATATATCCATTCCTAATCACAATTTTTTAGTAATTAGGTATGTAATTAATTGTAATGACTTAATATTTTCTTTCAGCCTAATTTTCTTTCAATATTTTTTAATTGTCTTATTCTTTCTCTTTAATTTTTGTTTAGCCGACGGTGACACCAATCTTAATGTTGGTTGTCGATCGTCAGTGATTATTAGTTCTCTTGTTTTTTATATTATGTTTTTTATTTTCTTTTTTTCTTAAGTCTTTTTAATTTTGAATAAGATTATATGTCATTGTCACACGTTTTTTCCTCTTCTCTTGTGATACGTGTTTTCTCTTCTCTTGTGACACGATCCTTATGGTTTTGGTACGTTTTTCGTATACCTTTGTGGTCGTTTTGGTTCTCGCACAAAAATCATCACGACATTTATTTTTTGATTAGTTTGTCGGTGGTCACATATAGTAAGATCACCTCTTTTGGTAAAAGGTTGTTTACCGATATAATCATAATTGTGTAGCGAAGCAACCTGCCAAATTATTTGGTTTGCTCACCACTCCTTTATCACTTCGTAAAGTGTCTCATTCGACAGAGAAAATGATTTTTATGGATTTTATTGGGTTTTGATGTTGGTTGTCATTCTCAATGGAATGTTTTATTTTGCTTCGTATCTTTAGGTTGAATATTTTACTTTTGTATGAGTATTTTTGTGACTATCGTCTATAAATTTTTTCTACATTTTGATGCGTTATAATTTTGATTCCTTCCGTTATTAATAAAATTCAGTTGTCATTGGTTTTTTTTTATAGAAAACTGCTAGTTTTATTAAAATAGAAAATATCCAAAATTACAATGAAGATTTACGAGTGTAACCCTAAACGTAAACTAAATTATAATTAGGACATTTTCCTCTAACCATTAACAAAAAACTAGACACCTATATCACACAAGGACAAAAAGAAAAAACTTAACCATTGCTCGAATAAAATAAAGATACGAACAAATATGGCTGCATTGGCAAACGAGCCAAAAAGGGGATGAAACTACTGAAAGACCATCGACAAATCGTAAATTAGAGTCAAGCGACGTGAGAAAACTATACACGAGCGCAAAACGAGTATCCAAATCAAGCTGAGGGTCCAAAGCAAGGAATATTAACAGGATAACAAATAAGTGTCATATTGATATGTGGTGGCGATGTCAAATCCAACCATGTGAAAAAGATAAACGAAAAAAAGGAAAAAACCATAAGCTACCAAAAGGCAGTGAAAATGTGCCTCGAAGGATAAACATGCCATAAATGTATAATTATTCTTATTAAAAAATAAAAAATGAAGAAAAAAGATAATTGACGGGTGGTAATCAGTATCAAAACCAGTACCGTCGCCGGTTAAACAAAATTAAAGAAGGAAAAATTGGATTGATCAATAAAATTGACAAATGGTAAAGAAAAGAAAAAAAATGGGAGAGAGATTAGGAGAAAGAAAACCGCTAATCCAACTGTCATTGTTAAAAAAAATATAATGGCTTATTATATTTTTCTATTTTTTAATTAATAAATCTTATGAAATTTAGATTTTTCCAACTTAACCTATACAAAAGTTATAACTCAATATAACTGTATGGTCTAACTACAGCCCTAATAATTATATTTTCTTATAACTCTACAGTATCTCAGCACAAGTACTAAATTATACTAGTAATCATTAACCTATTATTTGTTTCTTGTTTTAGTCATCAAACTCTATATTTTGAGAAAGTAATACTAACGTTATATATTTTTTATATTTTAGTCATTGACTGTCTAATTTTTAATGACATTAACGTGTTATTTACTTTGAGTTTGAGCAGCCAGTTGAAGAAGAGAAAATTTTGAATAGTATAGAAATAGATATTTGATTACAAAAAAAAATTATAAAATAGAAATCTATTCAAGGTACGTTAGCTATATAAAAGAAAAGAAAAGAAAATTTACACTCTTAATCAAATTAGGTTTCATGTTATCATAAAAGAAAAAATATGCATAAATTTATTCAATTTTTTAGAAATATATTGTGACTCCTATTATGAATTTATATATAATCTGTAAGCCAAGCGATTCACCACAAAATAAAAATCCGTATTTAGTATCTAAACTATAAATTTTAGTTTGTTTTAATACCTAAACTTTTAATTTTTTCAAAATCATACATAAAGTTTAGTTTTTATTTTATTTTATTACCCATGTTCAAAATTTAACGTTAAAATTTGAAAACAAAATAAAATGTTTAGGTACTAAAACAGTCAAAAACTGATAGTTTAGGTATTAAACGCGTTAAGTTTTTAACGGTAGGGTACTAAAATAAAATAAAAACTAAACATTATATATGATTTTAAAAAAAAATAGACTAAAATTGATAGTTTATATACTAAATGCTTAATTTAACTTTTTAAATGTTAGTCTAGCTCTAGTCTAGTAGTTTACAAAACAACGCAGTTGCAATTCCCTGATGCACTATTCTACAATGGTGAACTCACCATGACTGATTGCTACTGTGACCTGTCTACCACTGATGAATATATATATATATAATGCATATCTCCACTACATTTTCCTTCTCATTTCCCATTTCTCCTGAACTAGCCCAATTATCTGCCCGAAGACTGACAGAATGGCATGCCGATGGTCTCGTGTTCCTGAGATGGTCGGAGTCTCCTGCTTCATAGTATGAGAGGGTACATGTTCTTCTACTTCAAATCTGAGATTTTGGTCACGATGTTAACTGGGAATAAGGCATTTGAATCGGCGAGAACACCACCGTAAGCCGGGCGTGATCGGAGAGAAAATAGTTTTCAGGCCACATTCCCTTTTCCACTTCTGGAGGGAACAACACTGCATTCTTCACACTGAAACCAATAGCTTGCTTCTTTCTACTATGTTTTTCGCCACCCTTATGGCCCCTATCTTGGCCTTCTTTTCCGTCTCCGTCTCTAGACTCCGACCATGTAGGCTTCCAGATTCGCTGCTGCAAAGCCATTACTCGATGGCATTAGCAAATAAGAGTAGGCAATGCCTGTTGTTCAAGCTTCATATAAGAGTTACCTGAAATTCTTTATAGTCAACAACACCGTTTCCATCAATATCTGCCTGAACCCACAGCTCCTTTGTCTCTTCAACACTTAGTCCATGGCGATGACCGATTATGTTGAACTGTGGGAAAACGGAACATCGTCCTACTAAGCAACAAGATGATGGAAAAATGGGAAGAAAAAAAAGTTGGAGGAAGTTGTATGACCTGCCTAAGTGCTTCACAGAAACCCGAGTAGGTAATATAATCACCATCATTGTCAGCCTTGAGAAAAGCAAACGCATCATCTTCTGTCAATGAAGCTTTCCTTAGTTGGTTCTGTAATACATCTTTGCACCGTCAGATTAAAAATGTTCCAAAGGATTTTTGCTTTACGGGATTAAGGAGCCATATAAAATCCACACCGTATATATTTCCCCGATGATTAAGGTGGCTAACCCACTGTTCTTAAAATACACAAGGTGTCAAAAAATTTCTAGACATTTAACTCAAAGTTTTAGCAAAAGGTCAAGCTAAATATCAAGATATAGTGATAAAATTACCTAATTATTTGTACAAATGGTTATTTTATTAACTGTTTTAGTCTTCAACATTTTAATTTTTAGGTTGATATGATAGGTCCTATGTCAATAATTGAATATATATGAAAAATGTCACGTTAGCAATATGAGTTGATCATTAGTCAACTAACAGTTTCCATCCAAATGGACCTATTTTGATAAAAAAAAATGAAGTGTTGTGGGCTAAAATGCTCCAAAAAGATAATAGGGGACAAAATATCCACTTGTTCAAATGTTGGGGTTGTTTTGTCATTATACCAAATATCTAAAGGCGGAGGTATGTGTTATTTAGGGTGGACAAATGTGATTTTCTTTATATTAGTCTCTTATTATATTAATGGTGCTCAACCTTAGAATTTTACTTATGTCCGTCTCATACGAAAAATTTATATTATTAATATATACAGCCACTCTAAAAAATATTTTTAAATTCCGCTACAACAAATATCAACGAGGTTAAAGTATTACTAGTACTAGGAGCATAAAATATTCACCTTATGTGCATCTGCATCGGTGTATCTATGCGCAGTATCATACGATGATACAAATCCTTGGGACCTAAGGAACTTGTAAACATGTCCCCGTTTGCTCCCATTCCAGTCCCTA